AGAACAGCTGGCGGGTTGTACTACTATCTGGTGCTCCATTAGAAAGATTTCCCCCCACTTCCTGTCCTGGTTTCGCCAGACAGGAAGTGGGGGGAAATCTCCAACAGTAAAAAAAAAAAAATGCTTTGGCCAAATACATATCTGTGATCATTCAGCACAAATAAAGAACAAACTACACACCCCTTCCTACATTGATTCCGGCTCCGCTGAGTCCATCCATCATGGCGGGATTTTGTCAACTGCTCCTGGCCAATCGAACACATACCTGGCGCAGAGCCGATCACCATACAGATCAATGAAATGATCATTTATAAGCGATAGATCGTTATTGATTGTTTATTTAGGGGCAGTCGATCTGACATTCACTAAACATTCACTGTAGGTGAGCCTTCCTGGTCTTTTAAATGTGTTTCCGCTAGGGATGCACCGATACCGACACTAGTATCGGTGCCGATGCCAGGTATTTGCTCCGATGCCTGGCCCGATACTTGAGCTTCCGATATCAGGAAGCCGGGCAGCGAGTCATTACACACTGCCTGGCTCCCTGATTGGCTGGGAAGCCAGCTCCACGCTCCCTTGTCAACCAGGGAGCATGGACCTGACTTCCCGGCCAATCAGAAAGCAGGGGGCCATGTCATCACTCGCCGCCCGGCTTCCTGACTGGTCGGGAAGCTGGGCAATCAGGAAGCCATGTAGTGAGTCATTACCCACGCCCCGGCTCCCTGATTGGCCATAAAGCCGGCTCCAGGCTTCCTCGTCACCTGGTAAAGAGGTAGCATGGAGCCAGCATTCCGACCAATCAGGGTATCAATCAGGAAGCCGGGCGGTGAGTCATCACACGCTGCACGGCTTCCTGATTGGCTGGGAAGTCGGCTCCATGCTCCCTCGTCACCAGGGAGAATGGAGCTTCCCGGCCAATCAGGAAGTCGGATGCCATGTAATTACTTGGTGCCCCGGTTCCTGATTGGTCGGGAAACTGGCCAATCAGGAAGCCAAGCGGTGAGTCATTACCCGCCGCCCCCTGCTTCCTGATGAGCCAGAAAGCCGGTTCCATGCTTCCTTGTCACTTGTTGATGAGGAAGCATGGAGAGGGCTTTCAGGCCCATCAGGAAGCTGGGGGCCGAGCCATTAATTACCTTAATGGGACTTCCAGGATCGGTATTCGGGATCGGCGTGTAATCGATACAGAAACACCGTTATCGCTGCATCCCTAGTTTCCGCTATAGCTTGCCCTATTGCACATTGTGCATAGGACCCCAGTGCACCTCCCGGCGGCTGGGCGGCAACACACCGTACCGCAACAGTGTGCGTTGTGTTCCTGTGTGTTACAAAAAGTAGTCCCTGCGCTGCCCCTTCTTTTTGATGCATGGCGTCGCAACCCATGCTACAGCGATACCATGCATTGCAGCTCATCACCCGACCACGGGGAGATGTCGTTGGCGTTCCATTGAGCATGAATGGCAATGCTACGCACCAGCACGCCTGGCCACACACAGATTGCTATACGTACGGCCACCATAACAGACCCCCAGACAGCGGTAAAAACTTGGCATCTGATTCTTTACCAAAACCGAAACATTTTGGCTGAACATACATTTTCATTTCTGTGCTCTACAGGACACGCGGGATACGGGAATCAACCGTGGCTGATGACCCCGCTGGCCGCAGCCGAGACGGCAGCAGAGGCTCGGTACAATTGTGCCCACCAGAAGACTCTCCATTGCCTGGAACGACTTTTCGGCGTATGGAAATCGCGGTTCCGGTGCCTCTCGTCTACCGGGAAGCTGCTCTACGCTCCCACCAGGGTGGCCGAGCTCGTCATTGTGTGCGCGGCGCTCCACAACCTGGCGTGCAAGCACGGGACGCCGCAGGAGATCGACGACAACCTGCAAGCGGAGGACGAGGGGCCGGCTGCCGACGACGAGGAGTCCTCGGAGGCGGGGCACAGAAAGAGGGCGGAGCTGATCGCCTCCCACTTCAGTTGTGAGTATATCTATATGTGCGTATACTTATATATATATATCTACACATGCATATACACATACATATATATTATTTATAAGAGATAATTTTGATTTATGACGGGTAGATCATTATTTCTTGTTTCAAGCAGTCAATCTCTAACATTCACCAAACATTCACTGCAGGTGAGTCTTCCCGGTGCAAGTGTTTTAAATGGCAACGCAGCACATGCTATTGAGATACTATGCATTGCAGCACAACCCAGAGCCGCCGGGAGGTGCGTTGCCGCGCCATTTACTATTCTGTGTTCAGAAACAAGCAAATGGAAAAAAATAGATCGCTGTGAGAGTTTTAAAGTTGGATAAAACGCACACACAAATAACAATGAACGTGCGTTGTCCCACCATAAGGCAATGCTCCCTGGCACTATGGAGAAAGCTGCCCTTCAGATGCATTAGTGACAGCAGAAACATTGGGATCTTGACAAGATGGTTGGGACGACCCTGATCCTGAGAGCTTACCATCTAAAAGGGCGATGGGCTGATGGAGGCAGTAAAGGCCCGGCTAATAGGTTAATAGGTAGAGGCAGGATAGGCCTTTTTGGGATTTGTAGTCAAAGCACAGCTGGAGGGCCGGAGTTGCCCACCCCGATTCAGCTGCGGCGTCTCAGTACACCGCTCAGTATACTGAGCCTAGGGTGACGGGAGGACGCTAGTTTGTGTCCTCCCGTTACCCTAAGGAGAACTATGGGGAAAAGACTTAACCCCAAAGTTCTCCTTTAACTACAGATCCAAATATGCTCCGGGCAGGCCTGGCGCTACCGCAAGGCAGGTCGAGCGGCCGCCTGAGGGCGCTGAAGGGTGAGGGCGGAAAAAAAAGGGCATTTTGACAAGTACTTGTATTTGTCAAAATGCCCCGATTCATAGCGCAAATGCTTGCGCTATGTTTTGTTTTTTTTCTTCACTTACCTTCTGTCAGAGACTTACCCTGCGGCAGTCCGGCCGGGCATCGCGGCTCCACCCCCAACAGCGTCGTCTCCTGACTTCAGGGGGAGAAGCCGGCGGCCGCACGTTGCTCCGCCCCTTTCTCGCCGCTCTGTACGATAAGACGGTTAGGGAATAATCCCTGCTGTTTTCCTTCAATTATTTCAGACACTCAGTTGTTGATTATATCTTTTGAGCACTATTTTGCGGTTCTCCGTACTGTTACAGGCAGGGGGGGG